ATGAACCTATTTCAAACTACCTACATTAATTCTAGAATTGAGTCACAATATAAAAGCGCGTATACATGACGCTCGCGTCAGTTGATTTCGTACAGTGGTGCTGAGAAGGTTATAATAGTCAAGTCTATTCTGAAATAAAAGTGAGTTGTCGTGGTTTTATTGGAGAAAAGCTGACCACATGGGTGTTGAAAGTGGCTTGGTTTATACGAATGCGGATTTGTCGTTGACCATACGTGTTCATTATGAGCATTAAATACACCTGTTCTAACAAAAGAGCATTCATCCGTAAAAAGTACGCGGTTCAAAACCAACCATCGACAGTAATCCATTCTCGGCTCGTAGTCGTTTGGAAGAAGACACTGAACTCGACGATAACGATACGGGGGCTGGCCATCATCTTTGAGGGCTCTCCAAATGCGCATATGGTTCACACCTAGTTCACGTGCCATTCTCTCTGATTTTATCTCTGTGGTACGATTAAGCAGGCTATATTCCAAAAAACATGCGATATCGAGGCAGAAATGCGTATGCGTATAGTCACAGCCTTTGAAAAAATAAAGTCCGAAATGTCTGTTATGCAAAGCGTGCGTTCAGACATTATAAGTCGGTGTCGCATATGTATAGAGGAGCAGGTGGTCGTCAAGTAGACATAGTGATAAATTAGTGTTTGACTATAACAGCCGTGATGTGACGAGGTCACGACCTCAGTGTGCAGTTAGTGTAGGTAAGACGCGCGCGCGCCCGTGCCCCGTCTTTGATGTACGTCACCACCGGCCGCCACCCGCCGCTGTTCATAATTCCATTCAGAGGTAATCAATCCACATAAAATTTACAAATATTATGTAATTAAAATTTAATTTTTTTTTTCTATGTCGAGTATTGTCTACACGTTAAGTAGTATAATTTATTTATATACGTTTGTATACTGATTCTGATAACGCACTTAACGGGAACCACAGGGTTTTCGTTACATATTGTATATTATATACTTTTTTATATATTATGTAGTTCTGTATATTAAATACTTCTCTATGTATTATACTGCTTTATATATATATATATATTATATTGGTTTTTATTTATTTATAGAAGTTTTCTTCCTCGTACTACTTCTCTGTGGAATTATTTACCACCGTCGATTTTACTGGACCGATACGACTCAAGGTTAAGGACCTTCAAGAAAAAAGCCTACTCCTTTCTAAAAGGCCGGCAACGCACCTGCAATTCCCCTGGTGTTGCGGTTGTTCATGGGCGGCGGTAGTTACTTAACATCAGGTGAGCCGCATGCTCGTTTGCCCCCTTTTCCCAAAAAATATATTACGGTACGGTACGTAGACGACTCTTTCACAATTTTACTATTTGACAAGTCATCATCATCATCATTACAGCCCTTCACATGTCCATTGCTGAACATAGGCCTCTCCCAAGGAATGCCACAAAGCACGGTCCTGGTCCACCTGCATCCATCGACTTCCTGCATGTCTAGGTCTAGGTCTAGTCTAGGTCATCACTCCATCTAGTGGGGGATCGCCCTTCACTTCGCCTACCGGTACGAGGCTGCCACTCGAGAACCTTTTTATCCCATCGGTTGTCGGTTCTTCAATCGATATGGTCGGCCCAATGCCACATCAGCTTACTAATTCTTTGGGCTATGTCAGTCACTCTGATTCTACTGCGGATATCCTCATTTCTAAGTTTATCACGCAGAGAAACCCCGAGCATAGCTCTCTCCATAGCTCGCTGAGGGACCTTGATCGTCTTCATACGGCCAGTAGTGAAGGACCACGTCTCAGTTTCATCGTTTTCAGGTTTTGAGGTATAGCTGACGAGAGTAATTTCCCAAACGCTGCCCAGCCGATTTGAATCCGCCGATTGACCTCTCGGCCGAAGTTAGACTTACCTAGTCGTACTATTTGTCCAAGGTAAACATACTCTTCAACAACTTCGAGCTTAGTACTCCCAACGATTATCGGCATAGATGTGACATGGACGTTACACTAATAAATGTATTTTCGTCCGAGCAATTATGAAAAGACATACATGTTTAGGTCTAAATATAGACAACGAAATTGTAAGAAAAAACATGTTTCGGTATTCCTAAGATTTTCTTCGCCATGACGCCCTCCTGAATAATAAAACCGGCGGCGATGTCACTATCGAACTATGCCAGTCTAGTGAAAACAACGCCCCTTACTCTTGCTCTTATAACCCCGAAGACTTCCTGTGTTAAGTATGTAGTATGTTAAGTAGACAACGCCGTCTTAGGCTATATATAGGCCCCGGCCCTTGGGTACAAGAATTTGGGGCCCTGTTGTAAAATAAAAAAAATTTAATGACAAAAACACTTTTCTATTATGATCCTATATTTAGTATAGTTAATTGGTAAAATCAATATGTCATTAATGAGGGCATCCACGACTTTTTCTGCTACCAGGACGGCACCACTTTACAATGGAGTAAAGGATTAGGTAAAATATTTGACAGATTTCATAGCGGGGACGATAATTTCTTAGGAAAATGTAAACTTTAATGTTTCTTTTCTAAACTTTCTTTCAAAAAAAGAAAATATTCTATTATGAAATCAATACGTATATTCTTTTTTATTTATTACATTAAAATTTAGGCTCCATCTGTCTAAAAATAAGGTTCGTAATAATTATTTGCTATAAAATCTAATATTTGTGAAAAAATTTAAATCATTTACCGTTAAATCTTTTGAAGTATTATTTTTATTAAACAGTACGAAATAATATTTTTATCTCGTGAAAAATCCATGCTATAAGCACAGAATAAATAATAGTACTACGTACAGAAGTTTCACTCTTTTGATGTTGACTGCTTGCTGACGTTTAATAGCCTACATTAATAAGATAAATTGCGCACGCAAGCTAAATAAACCTTTATCGCTGGGCGCGAGTGTCCGTATTACTTTGCATTTTTTCCCATTCCGACATCACGACTGTTTTTCTGTGGTTACTTAGGGCTGTCAAGAATATATTAAAAATATATTAAAACTTGAGAGGTGTCAAGGGACACCTGAATGGAACGAAGTTCCTTTCCATTAATTAGTGAATGAATTGTAATAAATTTTTTTTTTAAGTTATAATAATATTTTTTTTATTATTAATAAATATAATGTAATATAAACTTAATCAGTAGGCTTATACATACACACACACACACACACACACACATGCACTCTGTCTGTCTATTCTTTCGTAAACGTCATAGATGAGCGGGACTTTGTAAACACAACAGAGTATATATATATATATATATATATATATATATATATATATATATATATATATATATATATATAGGGGAGAGGTGGTATACTTGATCCCCGAGGATACATGATCCCCCATTTAAAACTAGCGCCAAAAAGTGTTTTAAGGTGTTCTGTTGGCTGCATTGGGACGCCGCCATGATGGCAAGTACAAATAGTAAACATTAAACCGAAACAACAGCTCGTTGCCAAAATAATTGGAAATTTATGTTTTTACCGGATCTTACTTGTTTTGTTTAGTGTACGACAATTCGAAAAACTTCAGGTACGTGTACTTTACAATTTTTTGTTTGTATTTATGAAATATTGTGTGTATTTAGCTGTGTAAATTCAATTATTTCCGAGTCAAATGTTTTCATCTTGTTGCTGTTTTTTTTCCATTTTAAATAAAGTTACTGCTTCGGGATAGTTGATCCCTTTTTGCTAGGGGGATGCTTGATCCCGGAGTCAAGTATCCCACCTATAATTCTTTTGTTTGGGTCAAGAAGTAAATCTCATAACTTCCGTTCTTTTAGATGCCGCGGAAGTACGTATCGAAGCAAGGAGCCATGAAGAGGGTACCTTACGACCCGGAGGCCTTGAAAAATGCGGTCCAAGCAGTTAAAGATGGAGCTGCTTACAAAACCGTCGCAAGAGAATTTAAAATTAATGTCATGACACTTAAAAGGCTATGCCGTCGAGACTCTTATGTTCAACCTGGTTTTACCAATAGACAAATTTTGTCCAAACGTCACGAGGATGAGCTAGGAGCGTATCTTGTTCATATGTCTAAAATTTATTATGGACTTACCGTTGTACAATTGCGTAAGGTAGCTTACCAATTCGCCAAAGCAAATAAGATGAAATACCCCTCTTCATGGGATCACTCGCAACAGGCGGGTCGCGATTGGTATCGTGGATTTTTGGAGAGACAGCAAACTCTATCCTTAAGAACTCCAGAGCCTACCAGCTTGGTGCGAGCGACAGCGTTTAATAAACACACCGTGGCGGAATTTTTTGGAAATTTGACTGCAGTTTTTAATAAGCACGAATTTACTGCCGAAAGGGTGTGGAATATTGACGAAACAGGGGTAACAACTGTCCATAAACCCAGCAAAATTATTGCAGTTAAGGGTTCCAAACAAGTAGGAAAAATGACATCGGCCGAACGAGGTGAGCTGGTTACCGTTTGTGCCTGTATCAACGCTGCCGGGGGCCACATCCCGCCATACATGATATTCCCCCCGAAAAAACTGGCAGGATAGGTTCCTCAATCATGCCCCTCCTAGCAGCGATGCAACTACTCATCCTAGTGGATGGATGACGGGCGACAGTTTTATAAAATTCCTCAAGCATTTTGTTCGTCATGTTCAACCCAACGCTGATAGGAAACACCTCATCATCATGGACAATCACGAGAGTCATTGTTCTGTCGACGCCCTCAACTACGCAAAAGACAACGGAATCGTTCTTCTCACAATTCCACCACACACATCCCACAAGCTGCAGCCATTAGACAGGACTGTTTTTGGCCCCTTAAAAACCTTTTTATTCTCAGGTAGCATCAAATTTTATGCTGAGACACCCCGGGAGAACAATCACAATCTACGACGTTTCGGAACTGTTAGGGGAAGCTTTCCCAAGGGCTATGGTGCCTACCAATATAATTAGTGGCTTCAGGGCGGCTGGAATATGGCCCATAAATGCCGACATTTTCACGGAGAGTGAGTTCATGACCAGTTTAGTTACGGACCGCCCTCCCCCTTCTCAACTTGAAGAACCAACACAGAGAAGTGTGATAGCGTCGGACTGCCCTCTCCCTTCTCCACTTGAGGAGCCCGTACAAAGCAGCAGTGTGAGTGGACGCGCTTCCCCATCCTCACTTGGAGGATCAGTGCCGATGCACTTTTCACCACAGGACATCATGCTCTACCCCAAGGCAGGTCCACGCTCGCAGTCGTCGCGCGGGAGAAAGCGAGGACGTACTCGCATCCTAACCGATACTCCGGAAAAAGCAGCCATCGAAGAACAATCAAATAAAAAGTTGGCGAAGATAGCAGAGATAGAAATGAAAAGGAAGATTAAAGAAAATAGGCCTACCAAGAAAACAGTGAGACAAATCTTTTCACTAAAAAAAATTGACGATGACACCTCATCTGATTCTGATGAATGTCCTCCACTTCCATCATCGTCAGGGGGGAAGAAGAGTTATGCAGTGATGGCGAGGGTCATAGAGCTTTTGAGCCCATCAGAAAAGAAGTAGGGGAATTTGTAGTTGCAATTTACAATGGTTTGTCACACCCAGGAAAAATTACAAAAATACATGAAAACGGGGCTACAATAAAAGCAATGGAAAAAAGTGGAAGGCTTTGGAAGTGGCCAGCAAGGGAAGACGAAATATTTTATGTGTGGGGTGACATTTTGGGACACTTGCCGGAGCCGACGAAATTTTCAAAAACACGTGACATTTATTCCGTGCCACTTCTCGAATAATTTTCCCATTTATTTTTTGTCTGTGTTTTCAATTTTTTTATGTTGTTTTCATTTTGTACCTACTCATCTTTCGAATCGTTAATTACAACTTATTAAAAGTAGACCTAAGTTTATTTAATTTCCATATTTAGGTAGGCCTATGGCTGAAACTTTGACGGGTGGGATGATTGATCCTCCGGGATCATACAACCCACTCACCGGGATCAAGTATCCCCATAGGGAGGGTTACTTGATCCTTGTGTCGGACTTTAAAAAAACCCTTTTTGTCGTTTTTTTTAATAAATAAGAAGGTCTGTATTGGTGCTAAATCAGTAGTATTGAACGGAAATACATGTGTGATTTAAAAGAAAGTCAGATTTATGAAAATGGTTCGAATTACTAAAAGAAAACCAAAACAGGGATCAAGTATACCACCTCTCCCCTATATATATATATTACATACGCATTGATATTTTAATATTAAAATATAATTTGCTTTTAAATTTATTAAAGTTATGACGCGTACACTTGCTAACAATAATGGAGAGATTATAACACGTATGACTTGGTTAGCACAATAGTAAAGAGAGGTTATAATGCGTACTTGCTAAAAATACATAAGCATTTATTATTGTCTGCATAAAATCTCTACTTACCTAACTCCATCAACAATATCCGGAACTTGTGCAGAAACACTGTCAGGATTCATTATTGTTATTATTTTTTATTATTATGTACAAAAAACCTGTATACACTCAACAAAAATAATCGTCGCGACACCACACTGTTCAATGTGAAACAGAAAGACGAAACGAAAATAACAGGCTTGCTTTCTATGAGAGAGAGAGAGAGAGAGAGAGAGAGAGAGAGAAACACGCGCACGCCGCACGGCTTACAACTATAGCAAAAAGTGTCGTTACTACTTTTGGTCTTAATTTTTTCCGTCTAGCCCCCTTTCGCAACGCTCGATAAGGAACTTCGTTCCAAAACACATGTAAGTAGGTACTTATTGAGCTTATAATATGTATTAATATATTGCTTATTTATCTACTATTTATGCACACTTCTATTTACGGATCTCCTTCACCAAGGCATAGAATAAATAACATGTAGTGCTACTCGTACCAAGGTTTGCCTTGAAGAGATCACTGTTAAGCGATGAGGCCGCATAATTGTACATAAATTTATATGTTGTGTGCAATAAAGAGTATAAATAAATAAATTAATTAAACGTTGCGAAATGGTAAGTTAAATAGGTAAGGTACCTATTCTGACTGATCGAATGAACATATTTTTGCTACTATGCGAATTCTGTGCCTAACGCATGGTAACGTGCAAGGTCACTCGTCGCTAAAGTTGTTCAAAACGACTATAAATCAATAGCACACTATAGACTATAAACTAGAAATTTCTAGCGCGCTATTAAATATGCTATGTTATAACGCGCTATTTATAAAAAGTGCCGGCCGGCAAGCGCGTTAAGTTTAACAGCACGCTATATCTCGCAGCCCGCTACATTACATGTCGTTCATTGGATAGACCGCGTGCTATATAAGAACATTGTTTAATAATAAGATTCATTTTAGATTAAAATTAAATAAAGTGGTAAAGAAAAATTAAAGAACGCTCTTTCATACTTTTCAGGCTTACGACTTTTTATATTTCTAAAAATATTTTTAAGGACTGTACTTTTTAAAACAAAATAAAATTAATCATTTTTTATTATAATTGCTGTAAACATTATTTTATCCTTAATATAAATTATAAATCAAAGGTGTATTTAAAAGTTTTGATTGTATATACAAAAATCAACTATTTACAAACACTATTGTATACACTTTTGTATCTATATTTTATTTACATTTAAAAACATTAGTTAGGCTTCTTTTGTAGCAGACAACTATGTCCTTCGATCACTTATAAATATAGATACACTAACTAAATAACGTCTAACACTAAAGAAGTTCGCGCGCGATGAATAGCGTGCTGCTAGATTAAATTTGCGTCACACGTCTACTCCCAACAGCGCTGCTGTTAGAACTAATTGCCGCTTGATATGAATAGCGCCAAAGCGTCATAGGTCATAGCGCCATGGCGACTACTTACATAGCACGCGCTATGCGTTATGAAAAGATAGCGCGCTATAATATAGCGCTATGCGCTATATTAACCACCATTACTCGTCGCGAATCGCGATTTAATAAATCGCTCAGAAGAAATAGGTAGGTAGTGTAAACAACAAATGAACCTGAAATACAATTCCTAAATAAAATGTGATTGTATTCTAATTAGTTAAAAATCTTGTAAGCATAGTTTTAAATTCAGTGCTTTGTGATAACTTAAAATATTTTAATTACAAAAGACGACCTACTTCAATTTATCTACGTTAATTTCGTAAGTTACCTACGTAAATTTCAACTAAGTTTTGTAATAAAGTTCTTAGGTATTAATTCTGTATTTAAATTATTACGTAAATCTTTTTTGCTATAAGTATTTTTTTTTAACAAAAAAATGAAATAAATGTATCTTTCATTATCCTTAGGTAACAAAAATGATATATGTATCTGAATCCTTTTGTTTGCTCATTATGCATCCATCCACGCAACAATTATAGTAGGTTCGAAGTTTTGCCATTATAATTTATCAAATAGATAGGTTATATACACATATATTATTTTTAAATTACATTAAATATTTTTTTACTATTTTATCTTACAATTAAATACTAAACACTAAACAAAAATTACAACAAGTGTTGTTGCAAAACAAAAAACTATTTACGTAAACAGCGTTAAAAATACATCAATCACCTAGAACGCGCTAGCCCCGACTGCGTATTACACCCTGGGTGAATCGCGATTTTAGGTAATTATTTCACGCAGGTAGCAAGAGTGACAGAGGCCTGCTATAAGTAAGTCGACTGTACGATCCGACAAAAACGTTTAGATAAATATTTTATACCTATGAAATCTGTCAGTGCCACTTTTTCTGGCTAACTTGGCAAGTTTTCAAACAGATGACATGCGTCCTCTTTTTTATAGGAGGCGAGCATACAGCTCACCTGATGGTAAGTGATTACCGTCGCCCATGAACAACTGCAATACCTGGGGAATTGCAGATGCATTGCCGGCCTTTTAAAAAGGAGTAGGCTCTTTTCTTGAAGGTCACTAAGTCGTATTAGTCTGTAAAAATCTCTGGTGGTAGTCGATTCCACAAGGAAGTTGTGCGAGAAAGAAAACTTCTTTTAAATCGCACAGTGGTGGACCGCCATTTATCCAGATGGTATGGCTTTGAAAACCCCTGTTAAAAATTCGATATTTTAACCTAAGAGTATTAACCACTACGATTATAAGTAACTAACTTATCCTCCGGAGCTTTCTTGTTTCTCTCTTTAAGGTACTTTTCGGTGGCGCCTTTTTCAGTACTTCCGTGCAGTAAATTCAGGATTTCAGGTTCGACAGGCTTCATAAAGGAATCTGCCTCAGATGGAATCAAACTGTGTGGTGGAACTTGCTCAGCTTTCTTCCGTGGTTCGTTTAATATCTACATATTAAAACATAATGTTGTAAAATTTTGGCTTGTGGCTGCGTTTCTTATGTAGCTGATATACAAGGTTTTTTTCCACGGGTTCCTTCGGTCCATCCATCCATCCATTACAGTCCATTGCTCATGGGGGGGGAGGGAATTTGCCATAGTTGCTACGCTTGGCAAGCGGGTTGGCAACCGCAGTTTTTTATAATTTTGTGTTGCTATCAGGAAGACGCTGCTTCCTATCTCTTGGTTTTTTTCTCTTTGTCGCCTTTTACGATACCCACGGGACGATAAGGGGTAGTGGATATTCTTACACCGACGCTTCACGGGTTAGGGCTATATTGAAAGTATCTGTCTTAATTGCTATCAACGGATGAGTCTTTTTGAGGTTTGTGCGACGTAAGCGAATTCATCATCACATTTCGTCCCGTGGGTATTTTAAGCGGCGACTAGCTAAAATGTCAGAAAGTCTTATGATTTCCGATAGATGGCATTATAACCACCTTGCGTACGTCAGACGTAAAATACCCAGAGCGACTACAGACAGTAGCGTTCAAGATGAAATGCATGCTGTACAGCCTGCCAAGCGTGACGTTTAAGGCAAATCCTCCCTAAAACGGAAGAGTCCCATGTCCAGCAGTAAACTTTTACGAATGGATTGCGGAAATCAGTGACTACTCTTAACATTTGTGCACTAATGATAAAGGAATACATGTGTTAGGTGAAGGTAAATGAGGAGCAACGAAAGGGAATGTATGCCCTGCACATGACATGTATATCGTTTACCCGCCTTAAACTTTTTTTCGTTTTAGGCGTTTACACTTTCCTATCAGATTGGTGTCAGTTTTTCAACGCACACATCAAGGTAAACAAAGTTCAAAGTTTTAGCGGCTTGCCCTACTTTTTGGCAAATTGATTGGTTACATTGATGAAAGTTTCATTAAATAAAAGAAGGAAGAATGCAAGTCACATGAAAGTGATATAAGGGCCTGCGGTCATAGACTGCACGGCATGTCACAGGATTCTTTCGTGGACAAAAGGTTTTCGACTTCATTTTAATCAAATTAGTACTGAAATTCCTTTATTTGAACATGAATAGGCCGAAACATCTCGCGTACATACCACCCAGCCTACGAGACATATAACGAAAGGCGACAAATTTCTGTACTTCATCTGCTCACTCAGAGGCTATATAGTTGAACACGAACGCTACCTTGTTTAGTAGCACAGAGTACTTTTTGTTTAGTAGTGACCAGACAACAGACCTGTGCACTGCGTCCTTAGGGCTATAATTATTTTAAATAAAAAAAACAGTAAAACATGCCTACTTACGCTGTAAAGTGGTATGGTAGTGATAGCGGGAAACATAATTTTAAGAAGTATAAAATCACGTTTCACCGGTAAGTGCAACATTTAATAATCTTAAAATACTAAAAACTTGAGGTTTCAACGTATTCTCGTCGTAGTTCTTAGGCTCTCCGTGTCAAGCACACAGTATTATAGTTGCGTCTTTGTCTATCAATCAGAGGGGTTGCAGGCGGCACGTGTAAGTAGAGATGCCTAAAAAAGTATCGATGCAAGTTTATCGACTATTTATTTTGTTATTATTTTTTGTGCAGTCGAACAGTCATTCTATTATATTTGTGTATTATCTATTTGTAATTATAATTTGAAATCAAAATTACAGTTTTACAAACCCACTCACTTACTGGCTGACTCATCGACATATTCGCTATTTATCGACATATCTCTATATCGACATATAGACGCTCATTGACATAATTGTACTCCAAGAACGAGCCATCGGCGGTAAAAATGATTAATGGGGAGTTTTATCGGTGAGTGAAGTTAAGTATGAGAAACGTCCAGATCTTCAAAAACTGCTCCTCATCAGGGAGTCACCCTACTGGCTGCCAAAACTATAGCACTTTGACGAAAAATTTTGCCATTATATCATCTGATTATCGTATGAGACGCTTCCTTGTTATTACATAAAATTGTCCTTTTGGCTGATGGCTTAATAACCAATGCCACAACCAATAAAAAAAACCTTGGTGACATTTGATCGTCCATAATATTTTTTTAATAAGTGGAAAATCTGCTTCTCAGGATCATCAGGAAGTAAATCTAATGCATGCCCAAAGTATAGCAATCTGATGGTAATACAAAAGCGATATGGATTTATTGTAAGCGATTAGCTTTGTAAATGACATGTAAAATACATGTTGTATATATTTTAAAGAACTTTACATGTATTTAACGGTGTATTTTACTATCTCCCATATTTACGCGTACGATATATGGATGTGACACATCTCTAAATTACGTCTCCCGCGCCGCCCACACACCTTTCTTTCTTCTAACCTTGACAGACTAATTTAATTAGAGAATCGTAATGGTTTCATGTCTCGTAGGCTGGGTTATCTGTGGACTCGCGTGACACCGCGGCTATGCTGCTGCACATCACATCATTCCATGGGATACCTCGGCACGCCGCTGCATCACGTGAAATGCATAGGTTACTTCATGTTGTTAAAGGAATGTGACTGCTATGTAATTGAAACTAGGTTGAATCTAGCCCGTTACGGCTGCAATCTCAGCGATTCGCGCGGGCTCTCTGTACACGAGCGCGTCTTGACTTGTTTGGCATGCCGCGGGATGTCACAGGATCCTTCGGCATGACGCGACATGCCACAGGATCGTTCGGCATACCGAAGTGTGCCTTGCCATACCGTGCTATGCCGTGCCGTCTGTGAGGGCAGGCCCTAGCCGCAGGAAATAAGAAAATAAGATAATTTGGTTAAGCAAGTGATTGAGATTATGTATTAAGGTTGTGTTTCGCAAGAATGGAAGTCATGACATGGATATAAAACGATGAGTGAATCCAGGACACAGAGTAAATGTCGACCTGTGTGTACTCTCTGTTAGTACTTCGTTAGCCTTAATATGTTACTGAAAGTAAAGTTGTAGTAAAATTAAGTATAGCGGAAAAAGCATGTGAGAGCTTTAAAAATGCGGTCAAGTATGGCAGGGGTCACGATGGGCTGCAGCGTCTTTCTAATAACAACTATAGATATAGTATGGTTACCAATCGTGGCAACTATGGAAATATCTCCCCTATGAGTCAATCTATGGGGGAGGCCTATGTTCAGCAGTGGACTTTAGTAGGCTGTAATGGTAACAGTCACGTATTGAATAATATATTAAATAATTGAGTGATAAATGAAAACTGTTCTTTGCGAGATGTTATCCTTTAAACGAGCAATTCTTATATATATATATATATATATATATATATATATATATATATATATTAATCCGAATCTCGGAAACGGCTCCAACGATTTTCATAACATTTTGTGTGCAGGGAGTTTCGGGGGCAATAAATCGATCTAGCTAGGATTTATTTTTAGAAAATGTCTTTTTGTCCGTGTTTTTAGGCAATGAAAAACTGCTACAATATCGTTAGAATAAGAAGGTAAATTTTGACAGTTTATTAATGATTACAAATAGCTTAATTGGTATATTGGGCGGTCACAAAATTGTAATACCAATGGTTCGAGCCCAGATCACCCCGACTTTTTTTAATTTTTTTTTTCAAGTTCCTTTCTTTTTTCAGAAAATCTATTTTTTCGTGCCCTTTTTTTAGTATTTTTTAAAAACACGAAAATTTTAATTAAACTAATTGCACTCATGATTTTTTATTCAAATAGCTAGTTCAGTTTTTATATTATGTCGCTACGATCAAAAAATATTATTCATATTTCATCAGTATGTAATTTGTATCTAAATATAATTTCTAAAACACACGAATTAAAAAAAAAACCGAGCGAAAAATACCGAGCAAAGCTCGGTCAACCGGGTACTGATCAAGATTAAGAAAGGAATGCTTCGGTAGTTTGGATTTGGCTTTGTCTTTTCTTATTTATTCTTTCTATCTGAGAAATAGGTACCTAATATAAAAGAAAAGAGTGATTGCTGCAGTTATGCTGCATAAGTGAGTGGATGGACGCCTTCGATGTTCGTTTATTGACCAAATTAAAATAAAACCGACGAGCATGTATGCGTTTATATATCGATGTGAAATAAGCGAGAGAAATGTATCATGATCGTGCCAAATAAACGTAATTAATATAAACTACACGTGGTAGAGCTATGCTGCAGCTATATTATAGTTGTAACACGAATGGGTCGGCTTGACCGGGGAAGGACCACGCTTTCACAGATACTAGCGTAAATAGCAAAGCTAATGTTGCTGTGTTCATACGAGTGTAGAGAACCGGTGAATTTTTTATTGGGAACGAGGCATTCCATCTTATTAGTCCTTAGGGATAACAACGCATCTACATTTAGAGTGTATTTTAGTTCCATAAGCATCCAAAAAAAAAAAAGGGTTAAAGCGGTGAACTAAAGATTGAATTTGTAAGAAACCTACCTGCAAAAGATCCTTGGCGAGAGCTATAGAAGCGTCCACTTGCCGAGTTCGATTCTCTTTAGCTGCTTCAAGTACTTTGAGTATATTTTCCTTATACCAGTTTCTGTTACGACGCTTCGTCCTCTCAAAGGCGTCCAAATAAAATGCTTCAACCATTTTAATGAACTCTGAAATTTTTAGGTTACTGTATAATTTTAATATCTAATCCTTCAGTTTTGACGTTACTTCCGTTATTGAAGTTTGATTTTTAGAAGATTAAAATGATTACATTCATTTTAATCAACGCACGGAATCAACCATAGACTTATTATATAACTGCGTAGAATCAACCCATTTTGCTAACAAAACGCATTCCAAAACACCAACACACAATTGGATATTACATAAAAATAAAAATTACGTAGGTACTAGGTAGGTATGTTAAAATATATATATATATATATATATATATATATATATATATATATATATATATATATATATATATATATATATATATATATATATATATATATATATATATATCCATACATGTAGCTATATATCTATCTATAAGTTGTCTGGACGAACCCAAGTTGGTGGAGATCACTCAAATTGTACAATCGCAAAGTGCGTAGCCTTGGTGATTGCTTCTTGTCGGATAACATTATACACTGATGTGTTGTGTGTGATATACCTTTCTATTCCAAGCCAATGAGCAATGACAGAACCTACTAGAGGATTTTATACGTGGTAGAGCCATGCTGCAGTTATATTAGTAGTATAGTTGTAGCCGAATGGGTCGGCTCGACCGGGGAAGGACCACGCTCTCACAGAATACCAGCGTAAAATAGTAGCTTAATGCTGCTGTGTTTCGTACGGTGAGTGTAGAGAACCGGAGACCCTTTTTACTAGAAATGAGGCATTTCATCTTAATCCTCACGGGTGACAACGCAATCTAGGTACATTTTGATTCGTAATCGAAGATAGTGTAGTCTATGGGCGACAGCAACCACTTACCATCAGGTGGACTGTGCTCGTTTGTCACCCTATCCTATAAAAAAACATTACTGAACAGGAAACCATGTGATGAAGGTAGGAGTACCAACTATACACAATTGCCTTTTCCAAAGCAATAGATGAAAAGTCTAGCGAAGTCGAAAAGTCGAGAGAAACCTAGGTTCAGCAGACTTCTCCCAGATTGCCTCATAGTATAATATCTACCATATTTGCCACAGTTGCCACGCTCGACAGGTGGGTTGGCAATCACAGCTTTAATTATTTTGAGTTTTCAGGAATTTCTTTGCTCGTGCTCATCTCATTATTAATTTCTATACAGTGATATAGTGTAGTGAAATATTTATGCCGCGACTACACAGCGAAAATACCAACTACTGAAATTATTACAATAAAAGCCAATATTGTACAAAAAATCATTTTATTTTTTTAAACAAAACAAGGTTACTCACTCATAACATCTGTATTACAATATAATTTAATAGATCAATAGATATTTTAATATTAACTCGCCTTTATTACGGAATGTTTTTTTTTCTAGAAGATTACTCACACTGCAAAAACTTCACAAATATTATTTACAAACTCATTTTTACTAAGATAGGACTACAACGGCCAGGTTATATATTATACTGATTTAGTTTTGGACATGTTACCATAATTTTTCAACTGAGATAAATATACATGGTGGCAATTGTTTTGTATGGACGGTTGGTTTTCTAAGAACATGGCTTATTTCGGGAAGTTATTTTCACTGAATGACCATCGTCTTTATTTGCATTAATATTTTAATTTAAAAATAACTACTACATTTTGCGGGTTATAGGAAAAGAAACTACTTGGAATGATTTATGTCGACAAAATACAGTCTAAAATGCTAGTGAACATATATATATATTCATATTTAACACCATTTAAGAAAATACCTATAGTAATTCCTAAGGAGGGTGGGGAACCTCCTTAGATTTAGAAATGGCACCCTGCTAACAAACGTTAGCGCCATTACTTAATGACGCAAAAGAAAAATTGACGGCTCGTTAAGTACGGGTTCGGGTTAATTAAGGGTGAAACTAAGAAGATGGAATTCATTAACATTTGGTATTTTGGATCAACGTAGTTTTAGTTACAGCTGTGTGGTGGTGGTTTAAGAGAATCCATCACCCCCACTTCGTTGTGGATGTGGTAAGAGGTGACTATGGGATATCCCAAAAATCTTTAAGCTACCATTAGATGGCAGTATAACCAATCCTATCTCGTTTATGCCAGGCGTCAAATACAAAGTCGGCGACGGGCAGGAGCGGTTACGGTACGTGTACACCAAATCCGATTTTGTCGGCCGATGGCGGACAGAACTACCCGGACGAGTAACTCGGACGTATGTGTGCTTACACTGCAACAGTGTACCACTTGTGTACCACAGTGTACGACATTGGACGTTGCCGGTATTCTTTTCTATTTTTATATTTTTTTAATATCCATAGTCGTTTAGATAGATAGCAACACACAACAGAAACAACAGAATAAAGACAAAATGAATAAATTAAACTATAAATACACTCAATTGGCACTGTAGACGCCGGCAGTCGGGCGAGAAATCCCAACAAGTTCGGATTCGACGGTTGATCGGCCGTTTTCGTGCGTTATCGGACGAGACGGTCGTGTTTGTGTACGCGCTCTCTTTGTATTACAAGTGTTCAATTCGATCGTCTAAGTTCGGCTGTCATCGCCCGAGCAAACTTCGATTGAAAAATGACGGATTAGGTGTACGCGAGCTGTTAAGGGTCGACCCACACGTACCACAACCACACCACATCGCAGCGACAAAATGTGGTCACGTGTAAATGGCGTCGCTGCAGCTTTTGCAGTTGCGTTGTGGTTGCGTTGCGACTCTAGTTGTGGCGTCACCGCAACGTTGTGTTTGCGATGTGGCCGGTCGCTAGTTCCGTGTGGTTCCGTGTTGATTGCGTTGTGGTTGGTATCACTCATGCAGTCGATAATGACGGTAAAATGTGGTACATGTAAATTATACTATTCATTTTCAATACAAATTGCGCCCGCCCACGTGGTGTGGTACTTGTGGGTCGACTCTAAAGATGTTCACGTCTGGTACTGCCATAGTCAAACTGCCAAGCATGGCGATTAAGGCAAATCCTCCCAACAGTGGGATGGGCCTGTTCAAGGTAGTTCTTGTTGTTATAGGGATCAGAAACATTAAATAATTGTATTACTATATTACAGCTCCCCAATAATCGCACCATCTTTGTATATTTTTACAAATCCTCCTTCAAATCATCGCAAACCTTGTTTTTTGAAGGTACACTTTCTTAACTTTTGTATAATCTTCTCAATCCACAAAAATTCACCACGTTTTTTATATAAGAATTCTCCCATCATCAGTTTTGACTTTGCGACCTTGCAGCCTTCCTACCCATAACAGGACTTCCTCCCATCTGTCTTAGAAGGCCTCGTAAACCTCGGGCTTCCCGGAGCCCGCTGTCAAGTTGTTCCGATGGAACAGCACAGAAGTCGTCGACAAGGGGCAAAGGCCCACTGAGGCGTTCAGAATACTGAGCTAAACGGGACTGGTGACCGATTGGTGAAGTTTTTTCAGTGGACTGTTGCGTCTGAAATAAGAAAGAACTTTAATATTCCTATTTTAACAAAATTTTTTCAAATTCCCATTTGCCTAATGCTATTTGTTATATCATCCTGGCCGATATTGACTTATAAATATATTAATCTAAAATTATATAGACTATATATAGGGGCAATGAATGATAAAATGGATGAAGTATGCGATATGATGTATGATAGAGTAATAGATGTGTTATGCGTAAATGAGACGAAAAGGAAGGGGAAGGATGTCACTACACATGGCATGTATACCGCATACTGGTCTGGTGTAGACGAGATCGAGCGGGCATGCCAGGGAGTAGGTATCATCCTTTCAGAAAGAATGGGCCAATGTGTGAAAGAGTATGAATTTGTAAGCCCAAGACTGCTATGGATACGAATGAAAGTGGGCTTAAAGAAGTTGTTTGTGTTAGGGGTCTACGCCCCAGACATGTCTAAGCCCACTTATATCCGGGAGCAGTTTTGGGAAATGGTAAGGATGGTGTTAATGAAGTGTAAGGGAAATGAAAATATTATTATGCTAGGAGATTTTAATGGAAGGGTTGGGGTGAGGAGGCTTGGTTATGAAAGGATATTGGGAACGTTTGGTGATGAAAGTATAAATGAGAATGGTGAAAGCCTCCTCACCGTATGTGTGGAAAGGAATCTTTTTGTGACGAACACTTTCTTTCGTCATAAGAAGATTCACATGTATACTTGGGAAAGAGGTGATGATAGAAGCACGATAGATTTCATAACTGTGGATGAAAGAATGAGGAGCGCAGTGATGGATACAAGGGTTTACCGGGGGTCCAACGTAGGGACGGACCATTACCTGGTCTTATGCCGAATTAGGGGTTTATTCAGACGTTGGCGGCATAGGACATCTATGTCTACCACTGCGTTACAGCGTATAAGAATTGAGAGGTTACAAGATGAAGATGTGAAAGACAAGTACAAATGCAGACTGAGAGAAAATATAAGTAATTTGGATGAGTTGTGTGTGAATGAATTAGACTTGGAGAATGTGTGGCATAATGTTAAGAAAGGTTTAGTGGATGCAGCTACCGAAGTATGTGGTGTTAGTAAGAGAACGAATGAAAGGAAAGACAATACGTTATGGTGGGATGATGAGGTACGTATGGAAGTTAAAGCAAAGAAGAGAGCATGGCTAGATTTACTAGCGACCAAAGCTGGTAATTCTGGCGGTAAGAATGATGAGAATGAAAGAAAAAAGGCAGAGTTTAAACGTTTAAATAAGAGAGTAAAAGAATTAGTTGAAAGGAAAAAGCAAGAAAGAACGGATAGGAATGATAGAAGAATATCGGATAACTTCCAGGCAAATATTAAAATGTTCTGGAAACTCGTAAGAAATACCAGGGGACTTTCAAAACAGCCTAGATTGAATGCGATACGAGACGAGAATGGCTGTATCCTGAATGATGAAGTGTTGAGTCTAAAGAGATGGAAGGAATATTTTGAAAGCGAATTTATGAGTGAGGAGAAGTGTGAACTAAATGAAATAGAAATTCCGAAAGAAGATGAAAGAGATAGGGAGATAAGTATAGATGAAATAATGAAAGCAATGAAAAGCATGAAAGTAGGTAAGACAGCCGGATGTGATAGAGTTTCACTCGAAATGCTAAGGGCTGGAGAGGATGTGGTGGCAGGCCTGCTGTACACCTTGTTTAATTTATGTTGGGAACTAAAGCGGGTACCGGGAGACTGGTGCAAAGCCGTGATAGTCCCAATATATAAGGGAAAAGGGTCACAGCAGGACTGTAAAAACTACCGTGGTATCAGCCTTCTTAGCATTGTGGGAAAACTGTATGCTAAGGTACTAATTGAAAGAGTTAAGAAAGAAACTGATGAAAAAATTTGGGATGTGCAAGCGGGATTTAGAAAGGGAATGGGGTGTACAGATCAAGTCCTTTCCATGCGCATGATCGCGGAGAAGTTTTTGGCGAAAAACCAAAAAGTTTTTTGTGCGTTCATGGACTTGGAAAAGGCTTATGACAGAGTGGACAGGGATGTGTTATGGCAAACGCTGAACGCATTTAGGTTGAGCGCTGGTTTGATACAGGCATTAAAGTCTCTGTATAGGGACTCGAGTGCTTGTGTTAGAATCAACGGGGTCTACTCGGACTGGTTTGGCATTCATAAAGGTGTCAGACAGGGCTGTGTAGCTTCCCCGTGGCTGTTCAACTTATTTATGGACAGCTGTTTGGAAAATTTGAAAGTTGAAGAATACGGGTTAAGAATGGATGAGTTAACCATCAAATGCCTTTTGTACGCCGATGATCAAGTCATACTTGCGTCGTCGGCGGCCGAGTTGCAAATGGTGGTTACATTAATGAACAGGTCATTAAAAGAAAGGGGAATGAAAGTGAACGCAAGTAAGACGAAAGTGATGGTTTTTGAAAGAGATGAAAGCAAAACGATATGTGAAATAAGAATAGAAGGAGAGTTAATTGAGCAAGTGGATGAGTTCGTATATTTGGGATGTGTATTCAGCAGGGATGGGAGATATGATAAGGATATTGAACGACGAGTGAATGCAGGAAATAAAGTAAATGGGGCTCTACACTCTATTGTGAAAAGTCAGAATGTGTCAAAAAAGGCACGTATGGCAATTCACAGTGCTGTATTAGTCCCTACTTTAACGTATGGTAGTGAAAGTTGGGTGTGGCAGAAGAAGCACGAGAGTAGAATAAATGCAGTAGAAATGCGGTCGCTAAGGAGTATGTTAGGGCTGAATCTGAGTGACAGGGTGAGAAACTGTGTGATAAAAGAAGAGTGTGGTTTGCAAGATGATGCGGTGACCAGGATTAAGAAATGAATGCTTCGGTGGTTTGGTCATGTAGAAAGAATGAATGCGGAAAGACTGACAAAGCAAATATATGTTGCAGAAGTGAATGGAAGAGTCGGAAAGGGACGTCCTAGGCGGAAGTTTGTCGATCAAATTGGCGATATACTAAAAATGGGCCAAATTAAGAGTACCCTTAACCGACGAGCATGTATGCGTAGGTATATGGATGTGGAAGAGGCGAGAAAGGTATGTCAGGATCGTGCTAAATGGAAGTCTGTAGTCTCTGCCTACCCCTCTGGGTGACAGGCGTGAGTGTTTATGTAATGTATATAGACTATACATGTATAATTAACAAATTTTTCTCTATGGACCCATTAAAATCTGAGCCCTTTTTTGGGGTTTAGGATAGTACATATTTCCGGAAAGTTTCATTTAGGATAGTTTCAGTGAAAGTTGAATTGATAGATCAAGTTTTCATATCATTTCACTTAGTGTTTTTTAAAATTTAGTACCCGAAGTAGTTTAAACCTTTTCCCTTATGTTTTTTTTTTTTTTTTTTTTTTTTTATAGAAGAGGGGGCAAACGAGCATGTGGCTCACCTGATGTTAAGTGACTACCGCCGCCCATGATCAACCGCAACACCAGGGGAATTGCAGGTGCGTTGCCGGCCCTTTAGAAAGGAGTAAGCTCTTTTCTTGAAGGTCCCCAGGTCGTATCGGTCCGGAAAAATCACCGGTGGTAAATTATTCCACAGAGAGGTTGTACGCGGAAGAAAACTCCTTTTGAAACGTACAGTGGTGGACCGCCAAGCATCCAGATGGTGTGGATGGTATCGGGACGTTTGCCGTGTGTGCGTTCACGAAATTTGGCGGCTGGGATTAATCCGAACAATTCCTCAGAGCACTCCCCCGTGATAGATGCGATAAAATACGCAAAGAGATGCAACATCTCTTCGCAGCGCCAGTGAATCGAGCCGATCGGAAAGCACTCGGTCGTCAACGATTCGAGCCGCTCTGCGCTGGATGCGGTCAAGTGGAAGGAGCTGGTACTGGGGAGCCCCAGCCCAGAGATGGGAACAGTATTCCATGAGCGGCCGAACCTGCGCCTTGTAAAGTTGCAGGCGGTGTGCCGGCATGAAATACTGTCCCGCTCTGCTGAGCACGCCAAGCTTTTTAGAGGCCAATTTGGCCTTCCCTTCCAAGTGACCACGAAACTGCACGTCACTCGATATGTCGACGCCGAGGATTCCGATACTGGCTGAGGCAACAAGGGGAGTGCCTTGAAACTGAGGGGATACGACAAAGGGGTTCTTTTTAGCGGTTAACGCGCAAACTTGTGTCTTCTGGGGGTTAAACTGGACTAGATTTAGTCGCCCCCCAATCCGAGACTCTGTCCAGCAGAGACTCGACTTCAGACACAAGTTTGTCCCGGCACTCAGAGACGTTTTCCCGAGAAATATTGGCTCGGCCGGTGTAAAGAGCATCACCAGTGCTGTCATCTGCATAGCAATGAATGCTACGGGTTTGCAACATATCATTGATATGCAGAAGAAACAGCGTTGGCGATAGCACGCAGCCCTGTGGAACACCAGCATTAATAAGCTTGCAATCGGAGCTTGCACCGTCTACAACGACCTTGATGCTCCGATCTGCAAGAAAACTGGTGATCCAATCGCACAATTTCTCGGGAAGCCCATAGGAAGGGAGCTTCGAAAGAAGCGCTTTGTGCCAAACCCGATCGAAGGCCTTCGCAATGTCCAAACTAACGGCCAATGCCTCCCCCTTGGACTCTACTGCCTCCGCCCATCTGTGAGTTAGGTAGACCAGAAGATCACCAGCTGACCTACCACGGCGAAAACCGTATTGGCGGTCACTAATCAGCTGGTGATCCTCAAGGTACCTCATGAGCTGGCAGTTTACAATGGACTCCATTGTTTTGGAGAACAAGGAGGTGATGGCGATAGGCCGGTAGTTGGACGGGTCTGAGCGGTCGCCTTTTTTAGGGATCGGGTGGACGAAAGCCGTCTTCCATGATTTTGGGACTACGCCTAGGGAGTAGGAGTACCGGAAAAGACGCGTTAAAACCGGTGCCAACTCTGGAGCACACGTCCTCAGCACAATTGGGGGGATTCCATCAGGCCCACTCGACTTATGGATATCCAGGGAGAGGAGTGCTTTGCGAACCGAGCGCTGAGTGAACTGCACTTCCGGCATGGAGCACTCACACCGCGGGATGGTCGGCGGCGTACTCCCCCCGTCATCGAGAGTCGAGTTAGACGCAAAGAAAGAGCCTAGAAGATCGGCTTTCTCCTTTGCGGTGTGGGCCAGTGAGTCGTCCTCCCTGTGCAGAGATGGAAGAGATGGCTGACAGAAATTCCCTTGGACAGCCTTGGCGAGAGACCAGAATGCACGGGTTCCAGAAGGAAGACGAACTAGTCTCTCGCCAATTCTGCCTATGTGCTCTGACTTTGCCTTGGCAATGACTCTTTTGAAGGACCTAGAGGCGGAATTATACTTCTTTTTTAGAGCGCTGGTGTTTACATCCCTGGACGCTGATGCGTCAGCCCAGGCTCGGTAGCACTCCTGCTTATAGCATGATGCTATTTTACAGGAGCGACCAAACCATGGCTGAGATTTGCCTCCAATGGGCACCACAGAGGAAGGAATAAAAAGTTCCATACCCTGAAGTACCACATCAGCGACAGAATCCGCAACAACGTTGGGATCATCCGGCGAGAAGCAAACCCGCCCCCAAGGGTAGGATGCAAAGAAAGACCGCATCCCATCCCAATCGGCTGACCTATAGTGCCAAACACGGCGGCAGCCTGCAGAATGCAACCGCGGTTTCAGCGTGAGTGGCACCACACTCCGGACAAGACAATGGTCCGAGGAGCCTAAAGGGGCGTCAACGGAAATCTGATATCCGTCCGGGTGAGAGGTCAGCAGAAGGTCCAACAGGGAAGGTGCATGATCCTCCACATCTGGAATCCGCGTAGGCGAAGTAACCAGTTGTGTCAGACCATATGCCAAGGCAAAATCATGAACAGATCTCCCCGCATGATCGGTTAAACGTGAACCGAGCCATTCGGCGTGATGGGCGTTAAAGTCGCCGAGGATCACGATCTCTGCGGAGGGGATCTGCTGTAGCAACGAATCTGCAGCCATTTGGACGTGGTCGAAGAGTCGGTCTGTTTCGGCATTACCGCTATGGGACCTATAGAGGCACCCGTAGACGCGCGGATGGTCGTCGCTGTCTACGCGTAGCCAAAGGATGGACAGGTCCGAACCTTCAAGTCTGCCGAGGCGTCGAGAACAGATGTCCTCTCTGACGTAAACGCAAACTCCAGCCCGAGGCACAAAGGAGTGTTCCAGTTTGTACCCCGGACAGGAGAGATACGAGACATCAGCCGGAGAGGACACCTGCGTCTCGGTCAGAAAGAGCAGAGCCGGCCTCGCCGTCTCGAGATGGTAGTGGACGGCGTTTAGGTTAGAGTGAAGTCCCCTGATATTGCAGAAATTCACGGACAGCGTGGCAGGGGTCGCCTTGGTCTTGCTGCTCCGTTTGCCCCGAGCAGTTTTAGTCTTGAGCGGAATATTGCCCCCCCAGAATACGCGGGGCAGCCTGAGCACCCACGCTCAGAAGTGGAGAAACATGGTCGTGGATGCTCAGCGAGGGATTCTCCAGGGGTGCTGGTACCCTCCTGGGGTAGTCTATCATTTAATTCCGCTACCATGTTGATGGGGGGGGGGGGATTTGGGCCTCCGGCCACCTGCACTCACCAGACGAAACGCGGAAGCAGAGCTTCCACTTCACGCCGGTATTCTGTGAGGTCGTGGTACCACCCCGGTTTGAGCCGGCCCATACGTGCGACAGCAAAGCTGCCGCGTGGCTCTACCACTGTTAAAAACGTTTTGCTTTTCACAACAGGGATGTCGATTAAAACATTTAGCCTATAACTAAAACAAATAATCTAAAAAAAGAATGTCGCTTAAGGCTTTTCATCTGGAAAAGGTGTCTGAAGGGCCTAACTCACGAAGACTTCGAAAATTACGAGGACCCATCTCGTATATTCGATATTAGTATCGTAAGGAAATCCTAATAACCTATAGGCGAGATCAGTAAGATACGAATAGCGACAATGCATCTTGCATAATGTAACAATGAATTTGTTTTGTTATTTTACATTTTCTCTATTTATTACTAGTCGTACCTGCCCCGGCTTCGTCTGGGTACACATATTAATGTGGCGTTATTTAGATTTCATAAAATAATCAAAGACCATTTCTTTTATAAATTTATCGGTTTAGAAAAACAAGATTTTCTGATAAAATATAGCATAGATACCTCTCTCTTGCTCTCTATTTGTTCTATAGAGAATATACCATTAACCCGGATAGGCAAATAAAAATTTTAAAACCAAATGACCGATCGGGGTGGGGCTGGTACCGTTAGGTTCATAGGGTCTAATCATTTGTTTATCAGTCGAAACCATGAACCTGTGGTTGTTGGAACACTGTGTTTCGAAAACTTCATCCGAAATAAAGAGTCTGTCATGGCAGCTTAACGTGAATTCCGTCGCCACTCACTGAGTTATTTACACTTCAACATTCACCGACATCGAAATGTTCCCCCACGAAGTTGAGCCAAATAACGGCAGTTCTGCTTGTTCACCAAGCTGTTCAGAAGGAAATGAGTTTCTTCATACATAAAGATAATGAGGTTATCATTTTGATCAAAGATAGCTTCCATGTTATGTTTCCGAAGTAGCCGTTGTTCGTAATCCCCGGGCTGTAACTCTCAAGATGTACGTATGATACGCCTTACCGTCCGAGTATTCAAACGAAGTTCGACAGAATGAATTCGAGCACATCGGTGTGGACTGCGCAGAATGGCTTGCCGGATTTGTTCAACGTTTAGGGGGGTTCGAGCCGTTCGTTGAGCCCCTGGGTGCTTTTTGTTCGTCAAAACACCTCGTGCACGAACTGCTTCAACCCGACGTAGAATGGTGTTTCGTGAGGGAACACTTCGATTTCGGTGAATGTTGAAGTGGCGACGAAATTCATGTTAAACTGGCGACGGAATTCATGTTGAACTGGCGTGACGGACTCGTTATTTCTGATGAAGTTTTCGTACGCGAAAACACGGTGATCCAACAACTACAAGTCCAAGGCTTTTACTGATAAACAAATGGTAAGACTCTATGAACATAATGGTACCAGCCTTATCCCCATCGGCCATTCGGGGGAGAAGTGGTAGCTGTTTCAAAAACCTCCGCCTTCACTGTCCCACCCTGTAGAAACCAGTTATTTCAATATTAGAAGACAGACACTACAATTTTATTTATATGTGTGCAGATGGATTTTAAAATGAGTCATCATCAACATTCGTTTTAATGGTGGCAAACAAATGAACCTTTTTGCTTGCACCCAGTAACTGAAACTGTGGTTTTGAACCACCCTAAAAGGAGTTTACTTTGTATGAAGCAACATTAGAAAAGGCACGTGGAATGCCAGCGTATTCCAGGGGGTCATGCCCCCCGTAGTGGTATCTCTGAACGTGCTCTTAGATCGTAAGGAGAAATTAGCTTTCTCAGCCCTAGTGCTAGTCTAGTCAAATGGTTTCTAGTAAATTCTAGTAAGCTAATTCTAGTAGTCAAATGATATAAGAGCCGCGGAGGGTAAGGAGAACGGCGCATCGTAATATATCCTATATCTACACTCCTCTCCCCAGCGGCCCACAGTCGCATCGGAGGTGCGTCTCCGCCAGTCACGGAGGAAAGGCGAGTGGTGCCTGTGTACTTCGCGATCCCGCCTGTCAGGTTCTAGTGGGTAGCTACCGCCATAGTCCACAAACAAGCAACTAGAGTAGGCTCACAGCCCACTCGCGACCATTTTGGTGTTGGCATCGCGTCTAACATTAACTTCTTATTATGTGTGACAAGAACTGAAGATTAAATTAATGATAAACAAGGCTTTTGATGTAGTTCTTTGAGTTGAAGACCCACCTAGGGTTTGTTTACCCAATGGCAAGAAAGTGAGAAATAAATTGTTGCAGACATTTTTCAAAATATATCTGGTACAAAATTGTGAAGCTCACTACTTTGCATACATGCATGATACTGGCAAGATTGACTCTGACCAAATTGAAGTCACTAATAAACCTTTTAGTCTGCCTGTCTATTGAGTCCAAGTTGCTAGTTGGTATTTAATGACGACTAAGGACTCAAAGTATAGTAATCAGGCTCTCTAACCTATAATCCCTCATAACATACGCCCACTTACTCAAATAAAACATGATAATGCAAACTTTCAATAGAATGTTTAATGATTTAAGTTTCTTGAAATAGAGAATAGTGAAAGCATTATGTATTTTTTTAGCAAGTGAAGACGAGCACACAGTCCACCTGATGGTGGACTGTGTGCTCATCTACATCCACATCCACATTTATCCTCAATTAAGATCAAAAATGCAGATGTATTGTCACCCCTGAGAATTAAGATGGAATGCCTCGATTCTAGTAAAAAGAGTCTCTGGTTCTCTACACTCACCATACGAAATACAGCAGGATTGTGCTGCTATTTTACGCTGGTATTCTCTGAGAGTGTGATCTTGGTCTGGTCAAACCGACCCATTCATGTTACAATTATAATATAGCTGCAGCGAGGCTTTACCAAATAAGTATTTCAAGTCATTTTTCATATGTAATGAATGAAATGCTTTCAAGTTTACACAAACACTAAGACAGAATAAATTTAACATGATTTTAAATTAATTAACCATCACCTTGCCTCTCAAGGAATTAATTTCATCCTGCAATCTCTTCACTAGTGCTGCGTCACTCTCATAGCTTGTCAATGTAGGCTGTGGCATACATTGGAACACAGTTGCCAAGAGATTATGGAGGGACACCAGCACACTGTCTTGCCAAGCTCGTGTAAAGTACAAACTGAATGATGGGTTTTCTTCAGGTTTTTGAATGTATGGTAACACTAAAAAGAAAGTTAAATATTAGAACTTTTAGATCTTGAACTTTAAAATATATGACAGCTAACCGCTATATGGCTGATGTATGACAGCTCACTGCTATGTTGACAAACTTAGTGCTACTGACTTTTTTAGGTATCACAAAATAAGTAGAACATATTTGAGAAATAATTTCAATTTTCACAGTATTGTGACCAGTGTAGCTGACAGATAATTGACATTATCAATGCTAGTTTAACAACCAACATGCCTCATTATTTGAACCGCTATGTCAAAAATATGACTAGATTTTAACTATGGTTAGATAGATAGAATAAAGATAGCCTGCTATAAAATGCCTAGATATCCTTTAATGGGTGCATACCGCAGTACAATGAAGTTACAACATGGGTATCTTTTACTAAAGCTATGGTACAAGCATTCCTCAACATGCTGGGATGATGATAATAAAAATATATTATGAAGTCTGCATTTTACATAACTATTGAAAGGCATTGCCTTTATATACTAGGCTATAGTGTATAGAAAAATACTTCAGAAGCTTTAACTTTTTACTAAAAGTTTAAGTATTGCCACTTTTGAGGGAATCAAGGAATACTACATGCTTAAGGTTGCAACTAAAATGTTGTCTGTATATAAGTATGTGGCCGAATTATGAAAAGCGGAGATCACCCGCCGGGCGGTGTTATGCCCGGGGAGCGGCCACACTCCGAGTGATAGTTCAGAGAAGTTCTATATATACTGTCTATGATTCGGAATGTTGATAGCGTGATTTAAGCTTCGGTGTATTTCGCTTGTGGCGCGACGACAGTTCCGCTACATCACCCCCCTGCTCAGACCGGAGGTCGATAGAGCAGCCTCGTTGCCGACGAATGTGCAAGTGCCAGGGGACTGCCTTGTAAGTCTGCGGTGAGTCGAGAAGAAGGCAAGTAATCTGCGAGAGTGCCGTGAAGCAGAGGCGAGCAGTAAGGCTCAGAGCCGTGCCGAACACTGTATAGCGCAGAGAGTAGCTTGAAGGAACAGGAAGCATTATTATTCCTGTGCTGCGATGATCTTTGTGAAGCTAGCTGGCTTGCAGGATATGAAGACTGCAGATGATATCTGCTCGGGAGCGAACGGGTGGGGTATTTTATGATGATGATGAAGCTTGAAGTTACCGAAGGTTGTTGGTTGCGTGTTCAGATCACGTCGGGTAGTCACCAGTAAAGCGGTGGAAGGGTAAATAGCTGTATTAAAAACTTTGTGTTATTCCACTCAATGGGGTCAAATAAAAAAAAAAAAACAATCTTTCAAAATGTCAGTCCTCAATTGATAGAGATCATAAGGTGTGATGTCAATTCAGTATACTGTGAAGCTGTTTCTTTTTAGTTTGCTATACTGGTGACTAAACAAAATGCAGTCCCGTATACTGTCATTCCCATTTTTCGACACTATTTTCAAATGAAAATATTTATCATGTACATGTTTTCTGTTTAACAAGAAAAAATATCATTTGAATGTTGTTGCTTTTAAAACTTAATGTCAGTTTATTTGAATAACAACATTAATTAATAATAATAACAATCATTCATGGAGGCTGATAAATCTCTAGGCGGTTTTATGTTGATCAAAGTACTGAGAGTACCGTACCTTGAAAGCACCAGTGCTCATAGTACAAAAATGGGATTCATGATGTCATATATTTTTCTAGGGTGCTGTGGAAATATATTGGCAGTCCATAACGGAACAAATTTTTTACCAGTGAGAGCATTGCGCAGTGCTAGCAGTGTATTTCGCAACACAACCATAGTGTAGCGTTCATACAAAAAAAAACATTTGTATTAAGAAACTCCTACCTTTTGGAAGTGAGCTAAAAAGTGATTGTAGTATGCTAATAGTAGCATTCCTTGGGGGAGGCCTATGTTCAGCAGTGGACTTGTGAAGGGCTGTAATGATGATGATGATGATGAATGATACAGAAGTACTTTTACTTACTAAACCAGTCTCTCCACTCATTTTGACCCTGCAGCTCAGGTAGCATCTTAGACAGGAATTCTGACACTTTTTCATTTCTCACTCCTCCAGCACTCTGAGCTGCGGTTACTAAGTATAATTTGTAAAGACTATATTCTATTTTACGGACAGCTGAAAGATTATATAAATATATTTACAAGATGAATTGATGTTTTTTTTTTACAAATACAATTATTAAAGTATTTAAGTATAACTTGGTCACAGACCTGGTTGGACATGTATCTCTAATTTTGAAAATACCATGCTGTCCAAGTGCGACCAGTATTCCTTTAAACCAGTTAGGTCCGAAACATTAACGTAATGTGATATTTGCTCCACAATTTTATCTACTCTAAACCCCTTGTCTTTATCAACCTTCAAATCATTGTCAAAAGCTTTTACAGTCGACGTAAAACCACGAAAAAGTAAATATTCGCGCACTAAATCATCTATAAATTGAATATGAGCCATTACTAATCGAAACGCTATTAATATCAACAATATTAGTTTATTCAAATTATACAAATATTTACAAAAATATATGCATCTGTCACTTATCAATATTGTATTGACACTTGAGCTTGACAATTGACTTTGACATATGTTTTCTTTGTAATGGATTTCTAACTCGTACGATTATAGTTTTGCCAGTATAATTGGAAATTATCGTTTATAATAAATTGTTCAAAAAATTCCTTAGAATATTACGTTGATGCATCTAATTTCAGAGGTTTTGAGAGATTTTAAACGACAACTTAAGCCAGCGGGCAGTCGATAAGGACAGTACTTATCTCAAATTAATGAAGCGTCTAAACCGAAAAAAAAGTTGAGCTTATCAGAGCACTTGTTTTGGCGTTTTCCATTAATAATTCATATGCGCAGATGCTTAATAGAGAAATTGGCATCATTATAACCAAACCGTTATTTAAACGATAAAACAGGAGCATCAATCCAAAGGCGGTCAAATTCCCGTCAAAATTCACATTTGACTTGACATTGAACGGGACACTGAGCATTGAACGGGACTGGATAGTAATCGTTGGCTCCGTAGCTACTTTTCAAGCACCGGGGCTCATTCTAATCTGTTAGAGGCAAGCGTAATTAGTCACGTTCCTACTCCAAACGTCGCACCCCACCTCGCAACATACTTATCGAATCCCCGATTCCATTCAATTCAAATGTCGTGGACTTAACACGCGAAAACTACACATTCAACTAATGTCACAAACACGGGATTTTAGGACATCTTGGGACATTAGGATTACGGAAAGGACGTATCTCACTCTCACCCGCAGGTGGACAGATCACCCGCTCACATCGCACATACGCCGTACTGGAAAAACCGGGTGTGTTTCGTCTCAAAACTCCATATTTCAGATGTTTCAAAATTAATTAAGCTGTTATATCACATACGGATACTTGGATATATAGGGTCTTTATTGATTTTTTTTAATTATATCGTTATTACATAACAAAAAAATAAAACTAAAAATTGCATTCATTTTTAGTGTAAATTAATTTATATATTTAAGATTTTTATAAATTTACATATAATGAACTGTTAAAATGATAACAAATCAAATCTTAATAAATATACACAAAATTTCTTGTGATTCTACCGAACTTCGTTCAGAGAAAGAAAGGTTTTTTTTCATCAAACAGTTCCTTTGTTTTTGTTTCTTTGGGGTTTCCCAAACTTGATATATGTGGATCACAAGTATATTATGAAATACATCTTCTTTGGTAGCCGATCTTGAACACTTTCTAACACGATGAAGTCTGAATTGTTTGTAATCCCTATTTCGAGATTCTTGTGCATCTTCAGATAATTGTTCGATAGGTAAAATAGTGTTGCGAGCTTGAGGTTCGCGACAATTAAAACTGCCGATTGAATTACCAAAATTTACACTTCTGTTACCTAACACCAATTAAAACTTAAAATACTAATAATTAATCACACTGATTTACTTTATTCCGCTCGGAAGCTTCGCTTGTCTTGCCAAATTCAATACTACCTCGATCGCATCTTGCAGCGCCTTTAAATACACATTATCACCGAAACATCCAGAATATTCAAGTAAATACGCGCGCCAATCGACCAGGCGCCGAAAGTTCGAGTGTAGGGCTTCCAGAAAGCTTAGTTCTTCATTTCGATACTAGATGGCGCTGTCGGTTGAAAGATTAGTGATGTCATTTTCTGGAAAGCTCTCCTCGCTCTGTTACCCGACACAGATGGCGCTAGTGCCAGACTTCAACTTAGGCGCGCAACAATAGCATTGTACGTAATTACTTTTTTCTCATGGATCAGTATTTTGTGGATAAACGAAGGCATATACTACCAATTATAAATATTCACGGACAGTTCGGCTGTGCTATAATATGCATATTCACCGAAATTTTTTGAATTTATAGCCATCCCAGATGACACAGTTTGTAGTAGTATGTACTTTCGTTTTATACATTCTTCATCTACACCTGTAATATCTGCAGAGCAAGAGTAATTTTGAAAAAATCTCCGAGCAATATTTCCATCAATAGCGATTCCGGTGCCTTAAGAGGTTTATCGATATGTTTTACATTTCCTCCCTAAACCGCTTTTGTACCAGTTATTTCGTCTTTGTTTTTTTATTTTCAGGGATAGTAGCAGACCCTTTTTGGAAAAGACAAGTTATAAGAAATGTGGAGAATCATCTCCATTCTCCTAATCCAAGCATGCAGTGCTGACAGTCCATATTGAAATGAATTTTCGTTTACTTGTCGTGTCGTTACTGCTTCTAAGTTAATCATTTGTCGAGAAGTAGCGCCACAAAATGTATAAGTAGCACTCAACCTAGTTTCAGTTAAAACTTGTGCCACTTTACCATCAATCATGGTCATAAATAGGCTATGAGTAACTTTGATTACCTCACCATCCTTAATTATCAGAGAAGTAGACAGGATTTGTATTTGATTCTTAATATCAGCCACTACTGACTTCTTTCAGGAGTTTCTTTAGCAAATTCTATCGATATGGGTCTGTAATATCGTACAAGTTTCATTCTTCCAAACAACAGTATTAGTTCTCGAATATATGAGTTTAATCGCTACAAGTGAAACGATTAAAAGGTTTGCATCTGATATAAAATCGCTTTCTTCGGGTTAAACTTGCTTATACCCCTGCCCTGACTAACCATCACAACCCCATTTACAGAATAGTTTCAAGTTTTTTATACCATTTTTTGAACTGAATCAATTAATAATATACGTATATATACGCCACATTTACTGTGGCACGTGTATTATCTTAATCCATCAAGTCCTGAAGATTTACTTTTGTACTTATATTAGTAATGGAAATGCTCGAATCAGGTGGATAGCACATCTTTTTTGCATTGGCTAAGGTTGGATAAAAAGGAAACACTGCTTAGATTTTGCCCGTCAAATAAACTCCAAGTGTTTTATACTGCTCTTTATTAAGGTCTAAATAAATAAATGTCCCTAATACTACTTCCTTTCAAAATTAAATTTTGCCTTATCATTTTTAAGGCAGTTCGTATAATACTAATGATAGTAGCCTCCTCCGTCTCACCCATAGACAGTAACTCCTGAGCATATGCATTGAGCACGCAGTCGAAGGCCTGCCACCACTACTTCCAGATGTATTAGGTTCATCAACCGAGGCTCGACACTCAAGTGGCACATGAAATTCACCATCTAATCATTTGATATTCTAACTTTCAAAGCGTTCTCTTATCCGATATATAATCGTTTTTTCCAGCGACTGTTACATTGAGATATTAAGTTTCTTTGAATGTAGGACACCAGAGAAGCTATAACTATATTCTCTGCGGGCAAATTAAAATTTCTTTCTAAATAATCTTCTGTATGCCCATTTATCAAATCAATATAAACTTCTATAAACTTTTGAAAAACAAACTTATTGCTGTACTGGGGCAACTGAATGTATGATCGACAAATGTGATTGTTTCAGGGTTTGTCGTCATTTTATAGGACCAATAAATAGTACAAAACGAAAAGAAAGTAACAATTTTCCAACCTGTTTTTTTAATTGACCCTAATAGATAAAATACAATTCTATTAAGTTGTGTGGTCAAAATTTGACCACAATAGATATCAAATTCAAGACTTTTTTTGACCAGATTTAAATTAGGTCTTGAGAACTGTTTAACATATCTCATTTCAATAAATTTATAAATACATCGTCATCCATGCTATTTTATAAAAAAAATAAGTTTTAAAAAAATATTTTTATCTCGTGATGTATTTTGGAAGCGTATCAAAAAAGGAGCAAGTAAAAGTATATCGTGCATATAATATACATATAAGATATAAAAAAATAAAGAGTACATATGTCATCCTCAGATACATGGTGGACTTTAAGGAAATATAGTAAGTCAGCTCAAATTCTAATTTCGCCCCCACTTCCCCGTGCGTCATATGCTATGTACCGACACGTTTGTAATCACTGATACTGTAAGTAGATAGGTCGTTAGATATTTATTTCATCAGTTTTATCATATTTATGCCTGTTTCTTTAAGCCAACCCAGTCGCTTCTTATTTTTATTACGGTTATTTCCCATTTTGTCTGATCTTCTGATCGTAAGTGACACAACTTCACCATTCAAAAGCCGAAGCGAGGCTAACCGAGGGGTAGGAAACAAGCTTCAAGACGCCGATAGTTTAGGTAATTTCTTTTTACAATGAAAATAATGGTATTTAAAAAAATAACATAAGCCCTGCTTTATAGTTAGTTCAGTTAGTATGCAAAGTTTCATGATCTAATCTAAAGTATTTTATGAATAACAGCGGTTTATTGTTCAGTTTGGAGGTAACTTTGGATTTTTTTTGTCGAGAAAATTTTACGAAATCGTGTTTTCGTCTGACATAGTACTTAACATTGATTCTCAACTTTACCATATATTTATTTCAAAATTTTCGGCATAACAGAGGATCTTGCCAAGCCATTTGAGTATGAGTTTGAAAATTCATGCAGCTAAAATGATAATAAGCTTATTATTATTTCATATTTTTAGGAATATGATAGAGTATAAACATATTGGCCTTTAAACAGAGCAATCTTATTTAACTGATTCCTATAAGTTTCCTTACTTAAATTATTAAGTTTACATTCATATTTAAGTCGATTGTTAAAATAAACTTCTATAATGTATTTAATTGTAATTATTAAATGTTTGTAATTATTAAAAAGTAATACTTTGACTATGAAAAATAAAGCAGCCACTATGTACACCATGTCCCCATTTTTATTTCACCAACAAAACATTTTATAAATATATAAAATATCTACCTATTTATGTTTGATTAAAATTATGTTGATAAAATAATTCCTAGGAAACTATCCATGGCAGTAAATATTTTTTTCTAAAGATCAAAAATAGAATTTTCCGATCTGGTACTTGGGGAAAATTGTTTGAGTTCATTCAATCTGTTTTTCTGTCTGTTTCTGTCT